GTTATCCATTTAAAAAAAAAAACATAAAGCAGATGTAAATATGTTATTAGGAAGGGTTGCAGCGATACCTGTAAGACAAAGCTGATCACGTAACGCTCATTTGTCATTTATTTTGTAACAGAACATCGATTTCTGAGTGAACATAAACTAATAAATTCATATATATCATGAATATTTGTGTGACAGCAAGAGTGTTAAGCAAGTCGTACGCGAGGAATCTATATCTATACATATGAGACAATAGTAGTGTCTGTTTGTATATCAAGAAATCAAAGGAAAATTCTAGATTTCGGGAAGATGGTGTATTTGTGCTGCTGATTACGAAAATCGCATAAATTTTTTTTTTGTCTCTCTGTCTCCCTGTCTGTCTATCCGCAAGCCGCGTTAGTTCCGGGTAATCTCCGAAACGGCTGGACCGATTTTGACCGGACTTTCACTGAAGGCTAGATGACATAGACGGGCATATTATAGGCTACTACTCTGGAACGGGTAGACCGATTTGGACGGAACTTTGACTGAAAGGTAGCTGGTCAAAAGTAGATGCACGCGGGAATGTTGTTTAAAACGGAGAGTGCAACCACAAAAGAAACACTTGATTATACTTTGCACTACTATATTTGAACATTCACATACAGATCAATTCAGTGACGTTTCAGAACAAAATGCCACCGACGTATAAAAACTAACAGTTATAAACGACAATTTTATTTAAATTCCACGCTAACGAAGTTTGCGGGCGACAGCTCGTTATAAATAAAAAACTCTTTATAGTTATTGGTACTTCGACGTATTTCCGTTTAGACGTGACAGAGGTAACCATTTGCAATAATTTACACCCTCCATATGCTTTAAGGTCAACCATTTTTATCGTGGTTTTTAGATTTTTTAAATTAGCCTACTAACCATAAGTAAAACATCAAAATTTTATTAAAAAAAGAACAATATCGACTTTAACTTTATTTTTTGCTTCAGATTTATAAAAACCGTTGAACTCTGATTATTGAACTATTTAACAGTTCATAAACACCAATTTTTCAGAGCCGCGGTGTCAAGAACGAAAGTCGCCCTAATGATCGCCGAACTTCGGAAAAAGATGGCACTTTAAGAAGAAGAAACATCAATTATCTGTCCAAATTCAAAAATGCAAGCTAAAAAACGTTTTATTTCAATATAATTTAAGATTCTTTTCCACTGGAATGTCATAAAAACAAATAAAAAGTCGTTGTAAAACTTGGATAGCTGAATATTTAAAAATCATAACCGTTTTCTAAGCTTTTCAGAAAATGCAGAAGAACTACAATCTTTTCCAATTAACTTGATTTCAAAGGAAACTGCCGAAAATTGACATTCGGACTAAAACGATTGGTTTTAAAGGCGGTAATAAACGTAAATAAAAACGTGAAAAAAGCGTATTTATGAATTTAAAGCAAAATTTCAAGCCACGAACAATTTATAAATAGCAATTAATAAAACAAGATTGTCAAGCCGATCCTCGAAGACCTGATTTTAGCTGCTCTGCAAAACGTGATATACCAGACGATGGATTGACTGACACCGACTTCAAAATAATTATAACTAGCTGTTCCCATGCAATTTCATCCGCATAAAATTATGAACATTTTATTTTATTGTTTACATGTCAAATGTCAAAATGACATGACATGACAAATCTTGACAATTTTGCTCCCTTGATGTTGGTCTCTTTCCCAAATTAGGATTTTAACCAAAATATTTACCCCCTGAGTTTAATGTCATAAAAATATATAGCCTAAAGCGTGACGTAAGTGTAGGGCTTTTTATTTAAAATAGAATTATTCAAAAATATGCTGTAATTGCTGACATCTTAGGCAACAAAGGAGTGTGTGTTTACGCTTTATTATAACAGTATATGTAGATTTAATTGCTGTACAATATAGACATAAGAGCTATAATAAGGGTGGTTTAAATAATTTAAGGAATTATTTCGTTACTTTTCAGTGTATTGTTATTTCGAAAACGTTTTGTTTTTAATGTAACTATTTTGTTTGGAAGTATGTTTTGGTTTTTTACTAAAACATTATTTATTTATCGATTTTCATTTAATTCTAATATCGCAATATGATAATCATCTTTTAAATAAAGAAAGAATAGACAACATAACTAAATTAAGGAAATTAATAATTGTTGCGATTATTAAATTCCATGCGACGGCGCGCAGTTTCGCAGAAAGACTCGCAAGTTTTAATCTTTTTATATCCTCTAAAATTTTATTCACAATGTTTTGCTGATAATTAATCTATATTTAATATTCTAACCTAAAAACTTATTTGTTTATCCATATATTTATTTTATATTGGTCTTTTAGTTTAGGCTACGTAAGCCAAGAAAGCAAAGTTGTCGCTAATTTTGTTACAAATGAATGATTTTTTTGCGACTTGTTATTTTATTGTTTTGATATCACCTACGAGAAACCATCGATCATAATTATATGGTTCAAAGGGCATTTATAATCGATGTTAAATTCCTTTGATGAGGAACCAATTTATTGGGATGAGTATTTATAGTGAACACGATTATTGTAAACGTTGAAGGTGGCGTATAAGTTTTTTTGATGTTTCAAAAGAAGAAAGTGATAAAAGTGCGACAACCTTATGTAATATAGGCTTTCACCCGCGACTCCGTTCGCGTGGAATTAAAAAATACAAAAGTGAGTAACCTATGTGTTCTTCCAGACTATCCTCTACGTCTATACCAAATTTCATCGAGAACCGTTCAGCCGTTTAGGCTACAAACTCTAACAAACATCTAAACTTTTACATTTATAATATTAGTCTGAAGTATGATATTAGTTATCGCGGAATTTTCGTTGGCAAATTTAAACAACTTCAATTCTTTACATAAACCTTGAATGCAAAAATCTCCTAATTTTACCAGTCTTTTCGGAACGCTTATAATACTAGATAGTTTTTAAAAAATCATGAAACTCTGAAATAGTTCACTTTTACATTGGGCATAGCGGAAAGAAGTTAATCGTAGGAGTTATCGATATCTGCGCAAATACATAATTCTAAAACTCAATTAAATACTTTTAAAATATTTAAAAGGTTAGAGTGGTATGGGCATGTTATGAGAAGGGATGAATCGTATGTAACAAGAGTAACAAGACGGACGTTAGTTATTAATGTGGAGGTACACCGGTAGAGGTAGACCTAGAAAGAGATGGATGGATGATCAAGAAAGGAGTGATGACGGATAATAGAGTGCTTTGAAGGACGAAAACCCGGCGCGCCGACCCTACGGGAGTAGGATAAGGCAGGGGAGAAGATGATGACTTTTAAAATATTTATATGTTATTGCTGTATTCCGAGGACAAGAATTTTAATTGGTACACAATTGTAAACTGTAAGTGGCAGTATTACTCGAATTAAAAAAAAGAAAATGTAAAGTTGCCATTGTTCAATTAAAAAAAATGTATTGTTACTAAGTAATGTGTTTAAAATTTCCGATTTTATTAATATTACCAATTACTGTTTTTTTGTTGAAAAGGTTAGTAGAAAAGTCATTTAATACTTTTGTAGTTAACTTAAATGTAAATAAAAACATAATTGCTACAGGATGTTTCACTTTTCAGTAAAATGTCTGATGCCAATTTTTAAATGATTCCTTTTCTTAAATTTCATACTAATGTAATCACTTATTGTTTGTAATTTGCCTAAGATATTTGTAAGGTGACACTACGGCTATGTTTTTTTTCAAGTGACATATTTCATTAGCTATGTTATTACACTGTACGAGTATATGGAAATGTGCAAATAATTGCTGATTTATATACATTTTTCAAGATCGATATGTGAAAGATTTTGTATATTTATGATTAACAGTGGTAGGGCTCGCTTTAACATCTTCGCACGTATTGGTCGGCTCGCCCGGTGTAATACCAAGACCACGCAGAAGACAGGCGTAAAGTTGGAGCAATTCAGCGTTTTGTCTGATGAGTGTACGTGCCGGAGGCATTATTTTAGTCCCCTTCCCTTTCCACCCTTATCTTATAAGGAAGGATGGGAAGGACAAGTTAATTTGACGGTGCAGGAGATAGGAAGGGGAAATATCCTCTTTCTGTGCGTCTCCTCCTCCGTCGGTTAATGTTAGGCAACGAAACTTAAATTACTGACGTCTATGGGCTGCGGTCGATTCGACTCTTTGGGGAATCTAGGTGGCCGCTACTCTCGTTTAGCACCTTATCTTATTAAACTTACTAATATTATAAATGTTGAGATGGATGGATGGATGTTTGTTAGAGTTTGTAGCCTAAACGACTAAACGGATTTCGATGAAATTTGGTATAGATGTAGAAAATAGTATGGAAGAACCTATAAGCTAATCATTTTGTTTTTGTTTTTTAATTCCACGCAGACGAAGACACGGGAAAAGCTAGTAATACAATTTAAACAAAAAGATAAATGGTTATTTAATACGTTCTATCTTAACTCTATATTCAGAGATATGTATCACTGTATTCATATTTAGATACAACTCTTTGATTTATAGAATGTTAATAAAAAACATATTATCATGTGCCGTTGTCACCGTTGCGTTTGTTTGAACGGTAATGTCGCGCGCATACTTTCAGTGCTCAACAAAATAAGCCTAGTAAACATGTCGCTAGACTATATTTTCTTACTCTACAAAACAAACCCAATAACAGGTAAAGGTAAACTGCAGTTAGGCAAACAGAAGCGATGATAATTCTACATAGTAACTCACGACTACCCAATATTTGCACGATATCCTATACACATTCCTACCAGTCGGCCGCACACTTAGCGCCGGGCAACACAGGTTTAGCATATTTACTTAATAATGCACATTTGTTATTACAAACAAGAACAACTCACGTTATCATATCGGAATAGGTCAAGTTTTTATCCACTAAATTCCCGTTATCTTAGATGAACTCGGACAACCTGCACCGGTTTGTGTACAAATGTTAGCACAATGAGGTCACAAATCAGCAGGGATTACTAACCGGGCTGTTGTGGAGGCAGCAGAGGCGGCATGATCGGCGGCGGCGGCACTGAGGGCGGCGGCGGCGCGAAGGGGGACACACCAGGCGAGCCGGGCACCGACTCACAGCTGGAGGATGCCAGAGAGCGCGGAGCCGGAGGCGCCAGTACAACGGGGCTTCGCAGTGCCTTCACCATAGGCGGCTCGCCCCGTTCCAGCTCTATGCCGGCGGTGGCTGGCCCGTGCTCGGCGGCTCGCGCGCGTGCCTCGTCTTGCGCCTGGGCACGCCTCAGCGCCGTCTGCATAGCCATTACGCGCTGGCGGTCTGCGGTGAGACGGCACTTCTCGCAGGTGCAGTACCGGTACTTGCAGTAGCGCTTGTGGCCCTTCAGCTCGACCTTCAACCGGTGGTTGCGACAACGGGCGCAGTTGGGCGGCGCACGCGGCGCTCCTGAGCTGGAGGCCCCGGGCTCGGTGCGGTCGTCACATTCATCGGGAGACCGACGCCTCCACGCGCCTACGGACACCATAGTGGGATGTTGGTGGCGGGCTGGCGCGCTACCGTGTTCCCGCGGCGAAGGTAAACACAGCCGACACGTCGCGCGGTCTCGATGCGACTGCCGCCGGTCGCTGCCGCCCCGCCCCGCGCCCCCCACATGCCTGCATTTATTGCTGTGCAGTGCATTAATGCAAGTCGATGCATTTTAACGTTACATTTAATCATTTTCCTTCTGCTTCAATTCGTAAATCACGACACGTCAAACAAAGTGTTCCCAGTGCCACTTTTCAGTATGGAAAAGAGACACCAAAACTATAATTCCATTTGCAATTTTAAACAATGATGCCTAAGGACCAAATAAATCTACGAGCCATCTAAACGTCTGCGTATAAGAAATACATTTCAATGTCTTAAATTTGCTCTAAAAACGAAGCTAGCACTAAAAAGAATAAACAACAGTTTAGTTTTGTTAACTACCGTATGTTTCAGTGCAACGGTTATGTACTTATACATATCTGAGCCAACAATTAACAGCTGACTTGTATTATCTTTGATGTAATAATATTTAACACGAAAACATTTACTGTGAGCATAAATGTTTTAGGTCTTTCAAATCTTAGTCATTAATTTTTTTAGTTTTTCATGTCCATTCCATAACGTTAAAAATGAATTAAGTGATTTGAAAAGTTATATTATTGCTATTATCGATAATAGAGCACACGAATAAAGGCCCCAAGCGTGTTGCACTTCCATTAAAATAAGATCGCGTGCAACGTTGGGCACACAGACGCTAGTTGCATTTGTGTAACAACGCACACTATCGCATTGATTTCGTAGATAAACGACAGATTCATGTGTGTATTTACTAACACATTGACATATTACTATAGCAGTTACACGACAGTTGCATGTGTGCATGCCTCGTGTTCGACGTATGTGTGAGGAGAAATGTATACGATGTGCGCCTGTGTGTGTGACCTGTAGACTATCAATGGAGTTTTTTTCTACTTCTACTATTTACACAATTCCACACATTTTATTTATAGATATAAAGATTTCACTTTAAACGTATTTGCAAGTTACCTTACTTAAAGCAAATAAAAGAGAGATGTGTATTACCAAACGTTTTAAAGGTTTTCTTTTTGTAATTCGATTGGATTAACTTACACATAGTTCTAAACTTCACATTTTATGCGATGTTTATATATTAACATCATATTTACTAATATTATAAATGCGAAAGTTTAGATGGATGTATAGATGGATGTTTGTGAGAGTTTGTAGCCTAAACTGCTGAACGGATTTCGATGAAATTTGGTATAGATTTAGAGAATAGTCTGGAAGAACACATCGGCTATTCACTTTTGTTTTTTTTTTAATTTCACGCGGACGGAGTCGCGGGCGAAAGCTAGTTAACAATACAGCAAACATTATATATAACCTCATAGTATAGTGTCAGGTTTTTTGGATTTAGTACTAGCTGTTGCTCGCGACTTCGTCTGCGAGAAATCATACTTCATACTAATATTATAAATGCGAAAGTTTAGATAGATGGATGGATGGATGTATGGCTGGGTGTTTGTGGCCTAAATGGCTAAACGTATTTCTATGAAATTTGGCATAGATGTAAAGGATAGCTTGGAAGAACACATAGGCTACTCAGTTTTGTTTTTTTTTAATTCCACGCAAACGGAGTCGCGGACTAAAGCTAGTTAATAAATAATAAAAATAGAGTCCATGTTACTCACTGATCATGTATCTTTTAATGGTGAAGGTATTTTTGAATTCGGTCCTATAGATTTTCAGTTATTTTAATACATACAAAAATCAAAAATTACAAATCTTAATAATATAACTAGCTATCGCCCGCGACTTCGTCCGCGTGGATTTAAAATGGAAAGTGGGTAGCCTTCCAGACCATCCTCTACGTCTATGCCAAATTTAATTGAGATTCGTTCACCCGTTTAGACTAACAAACATCCATCCATCCATCTCAACTTTTGTATAATATTAAGTATGATATAGTATAAAGTACATAGACTTGTATAAATGTAATCACTTGTCTTACGTATGTCTCATTATTCAAATTTCACGGCGTCATTAATACTTTCAACATGTCAAAGCTAACTACAATACAATAGACTATCTCAATTCTAGTCAAAACAACCTATTTCAACTAATATGAAACTATAATTCCTACAAGAAAACGACAATCAATCAGACCACATGATGACAGTTGTCACATCTTGCCCATTAACATCTATAACATATGTAAAACTAGCTTTGGCCCGCGACTCCGTTCGCTTATAATTAAAATAACAAAAGTAAATAGCCTATGTATTCTTCCAGACTATCCTCTACATCTATACGTAATTTCGTCGACATCCGTTCAGCCGCTACAAACTCTAACAAACATCCATCCATCTAAACTTTCGCATTTATAATATTAGTATGATATCTTGTATTCTTTTATTATACTGAGGAGAGAATAAAAACGAAGTACATATTTCTTCCTCTTCCCATCAATAAAATTAGGAAAGGGAGAACAAGAATTCGCCTCGGCACCTTTAAACAACTGACTTGCATATGTTTTTTTTTATTTTTAAGGGGGCAAACGAGTGGCGAAAACACCGAGGTGGTCAACGACGCCAATACATCCGCAACACCGGAGGAAATACCGAAGACATTCAAGAATAACATAGTCCCCTAGTTACTTTCGAAATTAAATTAGAAAATACTGTTTTGTGACAAAACAACATAGTATGATAATCACTAGCTTTCAAACAAAGAATGAGTTATCTAAATCGATTGTACAAGAAATTAAGTAAAGATCTAATACATCGTTGCGATCATTCACTCATAATTCTGTCCAGCCGCGCGCCGCTGTTGCCCGTGAGTTTTAATATTTTGATAACTTCTAGAATATTGGTCAGAATTACATACTGTAAAAGGCAATTATGATCTACATTTAATACTCTATCGTGAAAACATATTTATTTGGATAAGGATTCATACCAAATAAGAATAAAAGCGTTTTAAATGAAGTCGATTGCATTTATTTGACGGTTTTCGCGAAACAAACGGTTATTGTGCGACAACCTTAAGAGATAGATATATGCTATCGCGGACTTTTATTTAGCTAATTGAATGAGCTACAATTCTTTGATACATCATTTTTATGTAGGTCTTATAGTTTAGGCTACGTAAGCCAAGAAAGAAAACTTTGATACAAGTTGGTATTTTTTTCTGCGACTCGTAATTTGCTAATTATGATATCTCCTAAACTATTGATCGGAATTACACAGTTCCAAGGGCATTTATAATCTACATTAAATTCTCTTGATGATAGACACATTTATTTGGATAAGGATTCATACCGAACACGAGTAATAGCGTTTAAAGTGGGGTATAGATTTCGAGCGATATTTTTATGATAAAAGTGGTTATTGTGCGACAACCTTAATAGATAGATATATGCTGTCGCGGACTTTTATTTAGCAAATTTAAAGGGCTACAATTCTTCCATACATCATTTTTATGTATGTCTTATAGTTTAGGCTACGTAAGCAAAGAAAGCAAAAATGACCCGAAATTTCGTCACGCGATTTTGAGCTAAACTATTTAACTACGTCGTAGTCTTTGCCTCCAAAAATCAAACAAAAAAATGGGACCCACCTGCAAGCATTACCTTTCGGATAAAAAATGAATTATCAAAATCGGTCCACTAGCGGCGGAGTTATGCCGTAACACACATAAAAAAAAAAAAAAAAAAAAAAAAAAAAAAAAACATACAGACGAATTGAGTACCTCCTTCTTTTGGGAAGTCGGTCAAAAAACCATTTGCCAAATTAAAATTTATATAGAGACAAAAAATCTTTTATATTACACCGTCTATCTGAAAAAAAAAACTTGACAGTGATTGTACAAGCGGTAACAAAAGTTTTATTAAGGTTTTGATTTTCGAGTTTTTAAACTCCTTTGAAATTTGATGACAAAGCTACATTTCATAAAACGATGTTGTGTAACAAATGAAAACTAAGATTTCAATATGATTTTTTTTTTATTATGTAAGGTGGCAAACGAGCAAGCGGCCAGCTGAATCCACCGAAATAGAAAGCGACTACTGCCTACCTAAATAATTGTAGGTGCATAATGCAGATGCGTTACCTACCCTTAATTGACGGAGGAGGAGACGCACGTAAAGAGGACATTTCCCCTTCCTATGCGTCTCCTCACCGTCAAATCCACTTTTCCTTCCCATCCTTTGCTCTTAAGAAAAGGGTGGAAAGGGAAAGGGACTAAAATTAGGCCTCCGGCACCACATTCAGCAGACGAAACGCGGATTTGCTCCACTTCCCGCCTGTATTCTGTGTGTGTAATAAATCTATCAAAGTCTTTTCGAGACATTTTGAATAAATGTGGAAATTACCAAACTTTACAACCCTCTAGGGTCCAAGCAACTTAGGATAGAGGTAATGATTATATTTTCAACCAAGGCATATATGGTAATCCAAGGTACACGTCTTTCCCGGACGTATTCCAGTTAGAAGGTAATAGAGGGAATCATTTGTAATAACTTTGACCCATATATGCAGTATACAAAACAACCATTGTCGAGTAATCTTGATTTTTAGATTTTTTAAAATAAGTCAAAAGTGACAATTCAAAAACAATTTAAAAAAACTGTCAATGCTAACTTCTTTTTTTTGAGATTTATTATAACCATTAAACACTGCTTATTTCGCAATAGTTACAAAAACATCACTTATCTGTCCAAGTTATAAAAATGCAAGCTTACAATAGCTTGCATTTTTTTAATAATCATTTATTAAATAATCTTATAAAATATTAACATTGTAAAATAATCAATATTACCATTCATAGTTTTTTAAATAAATTTTAGGAGTGGCATTTTTGGCTTATTTTAAATAATCTAAAAATCAAGATTAATCGAAAATGGTTAACTTTTGTAGAATGCATACAGGGGTCAAAATTATCACAAATGATCCCATCTATAACCTCTTAACAGGAATACGTCTAATAACTTTCGTGAGACATTGTACTAACTACATTAATTATAAAACACGGCTTTACCCAAGTGACAAC